AGTTCCTGTGCCAGTCTCAACGCCAATATACCAAAAATTCGAAGAAAATAATCCTGAAGTTAGTCTTTGCGTGTATAAATGGTCTAATGAAAATAAGCGTCTTGAGTTCCAGTATATATACAAAGAGGTTAATCTTCTGGTTATCTCAGAGCCAGATGAAATAGAAAATCCGCGCTCACATTATTGCATTATTAAAGATATTAATAGACTGGTTTATAACCATAGTAAGCACAAAGAGCGGAAATACCTTTGCCAATATTGCCTTCATGAATGTTCAGGAATAAATGGCGCGCCACAAGAGCCAAAAGTTCCAAAATTAGAAAAGAGCACCATTAGAAGTATTCTAAAGAAAGAACAAGGTGAAAAAATTGCTCCTTATACTTTCAGAATAAACAATACTCAGACACTTGATACTTATCTAAAAAAAGAAAGAATTACCTATGATTTATCAGCAAGAAAAATTAAGGATAGAAGATAATGTAAATGAGATAAAGTCTATATCAAATTAATAGAGGGAAATCTGCCACAGCTCATTTTGGGATTTAATTGAGGTGGGAATATAAATAAGATGAGACATGGAAGAGGTATGACTGTATAGAATTACAGACCCTAATAATAAAAACTGAAATCCTTAATAATTACTGGAAACAAATATTATGGAAATTATTGTGTTTATTAGGTTTTGGGTTTTTTTAATTTATTTAATCACTTTGGTGTTGCCAATGCTGGTATATAAAACAAAAAAAAATTTTTTTTATTATTGATTTCAGTAGCCAATGTGCATGCATGTAATTTTTTCATTTATTTATTTAACAAGAATAACAGACTTATTTAATAAAAAAAAATTTTAATTAGAATTCACTCATTGACCATATGATTTCTCAGTTTCCTTTTTAAGAAAAGCCATTGATTGTACACTGCATTTTTGCTTCTGCTCAAGTTTTGCATTGCAAAACTGTAATCTATCCTTACTGTGGAAAAGACATGGTCAATTAGGATTAATTTCTCCTGATTTGTCCATCTCATCCTTTTCATTGCAATATTACTATTGTTATTATCATTTATGTTATTGTCATTATTATTATCACTATTACTATTGATATTGATATTATTATCAATGTTATTATTGTAATGAAAATTATCAGTATTATTAGTTTCTTCTATATTAATGTCATCATTGCTAAAATTATTATCATCATTATTAGAATTATTGTTGTTAATATTGTGGGTATGATTGTTGTCAATATCATCATTGATTGGTAGATCAATATCATTAGTATTAAGATTATCATTATCATTATTAGAATTATTGTTGTTAATGTTGTGGGTACGATTGTTGTCAATATCATCGTTGATTGGAAGATCAATATTATTAGTATTAAGATTATAATCATTATCAATATCAACAACATGAGCTAAATTATTTTCCTATAATGTAAGATAAATAGGTTGATCCTGTTAAATTCCTAAAAACAATAAAAATAAAATATTCATTCTGTGCTTACAATGCTTTCAACTAAATTTTTTACGCAATGTAATCCATTGATTTTGATATTGTTATTTGATGTTATTGTTTGATCAATTCAAATTAAAATTTAGACTTATTGATGTTTTTATTGAGTTGAAAACTCTCAAATATCTTTCATCCTTAGAAGTTATTGGTATATATTTTATAATCAAAAAAATAAACTCGTTAATAATAAGGCAATTAGTCTTATCCACCTAAAGTAACATGATAAACTTACTTGTAATAAAGATGAGGATGAGGAGGGATGACTAGATGTTTAAAATAAATATTGTTTACTATTATAAACTAGAGTGACAACAAGTGGCGGGCGATAACCACCACCACCACCACCACCATCCTTAAAACACTTACCCACTTTCCCCAGCTCGAACATCAACTCTGGTTCTTTTTGTTTGTCGTGGCATTTTTTTTACAGAAATTTCTTAAAAAAAAAATATGATTGACGTGTGTACACTATTTATCCTATTGGTTTTTTTTTTTTGGTAGGACAGACGCGAATTGATTTTTTTTTCTTGGAAAAACAATTTATTTTTTGACAGAGTCCAAGGTGACAAAACGTGAGTGTTGTTGTTTGGTTTGGTTTGGGTCTCCTAAAGAAACGTGTTAATAACTAACCAGGGGTACTATTTTTTATTTGATTGATATAATGTGTCTTTTAAATATTTTAATTGGGAAATCAAAACGCGCAACAGATCATTGCTGGGTAATTACAAGATTTTCATTGATAATATTTTGCTTTTCGTAATCAATAATATTAATAACATTAATATAAATATTATATTACAAGATGTCAAGGCAATACATTGTTGAAAAAGAAACAACTCAAATATGCAACGTTTGATTATCGGAAATTGGCAGGTGTTGAAGCACGCACACCACCTTGAACACATACAGTCATTCTCATCTTCCTTGTATCATGTACAAAAGGCTAATCTGACCTGCATTCCTCGAAGATACAATGATGCAACTGAACTCCAGGGGGGACCGCATGGCCTGGAGTTTACCAAGGCTGTATCAATCGTCAAGGATGCTTTCACTAATCTTCCCCCAGAGAAGGCTGCTGGCACGCTAGCCAAAAAGTTGCCTCCAACGATTCCACCTCTAGGGCAAGGATGGCACTGTGACCAAGCCACAACTCTGCTGATGAATATTATGAGAATCTGCAACTTGTTTCAAGCACAGGAAGTCACAATTCAGAGCAGGGTTTGTGGCCCTGAAATTGCATTTGTGCTCTGATGTTAAGAGGAAAGTTGTAAAATAGTGTTTTGTATAATCACTTTCCTAAATGCTCTGTTTTTCTTTAATTTGTTTTTTGAATGGGGGTAGGGTTGTTGGTGAGTAGGCATGCCACTAACAAAACAGTAACCCAGGACTCAAAACTCTGAATCCAGGAAAAAACCAAAACAGCAACCCAGGTTGCAACCTCCCAAGTTGCAGAATTTTCAAACCAGTTGCAGGTGCCAACTTTATTTTAGAGAGAGGTGATAACACAAAGCAATCATCACACAAGCACCAGTTATCAGTGATCAATGCCTATATGGAAACAGCCAAGCCTGGTCTGAGAGAAGGATAAAGAAATGTTTTGTCCAAAGCCTTCCAACATGTGGGGGACCTTGCCTGTGGAAAAATCCACAGTTATGAGGCGTGTGAAAGCACATAACCACATGTTTGTGATAGGAAATTTTTATTAAATCTGATACCTGTGATCAACATCAGATTTACGAGTGACACATTATTAAAAGTTTCATTTATGCATGGCCTTGGTATTGTTACTACTTGGGTGATGCAATTGCTTGTTATGTAAATTATAACATCAAACATATTGAATAATAATCATGAATATTTGATGGATGGAGGCATTCACATACAAGGAAAGGATTAAATAAGCTAAGTCATGTTTATTTTTATCTATATAATTAATTATATTTAAAAAATTATTATTTTATTTCACCTTTGTAATGG